TTCGGTGATCTCTGGCTTTTAACGACTACTTTCCTGAAGTTAACTGGTCATGAAATTCAATTTCAAATGGACCAAATTCTCTACAAATTTAACATTTGATCATTTAAATATTCAAATATATATATATATGCAATTTATATGAATAAAGATTGTTTTGCTCAATGTCCTGGAGATTTGTATTTCGATCGATTTGTCTTCTGGAAGCATACTAGATTTGAATCGATTAGGTGTTTCAGTATACCAAAAACTCACCACTTAGAAATTAATGAAACAGAAGGGTTGGGTGAAGAAATATTCACTTTTTAAGTATTGATTTTGTATTGATTTTGTTTGATTACATGGAGGATTTCATCATGAGCTGACATTAGTTAGAGAACCACTGGAAAACCAGCTGGGAGTACTGGACAGCTGTTTCGTCGTAGTTTGAGACTCTTTGAAAATTAATCTGATACTCACTAGCTACTGGCGCTATTCAGGCAGTTAACCTGGGGTTCTAGTGGGAAGCTGTGACCAGTAGGGTACAGTAGGGTGAAGATGAGGCAGTAACTCATCGAAGAAGACATTGCGAAATGGTCGCGTTATGTCGTAAATTGGCAGAAGTTAGAATTCAAGGACCATTGGATCGGGTCCCAGTGGCTCAATGGTCTATAAGCTTGCCTTGTAACCAGAAGATCCTGGGTTCGAATCTCGGTGGGTGAATACTGCTGAAGAGTCCCAAACTAGGCTGACGAAACAGCTGTCCAGTACTCCCAGTTGGTTTTCCAGTGGTTCTCTAACTGAAATCAACTCATGATGAAATCCTCCATGTATTATTCACCTTTTAATCAAATTCTCATTTACGTCTCTACTTCATTATGTCTACCACACTTTTCGTACAGTACTCACAAAAAAAATTTACCAATCTGGTGACGACAAGTTTGTTAACAATAATTAGTCACTATCACTACGTCAATCAGGTGATAATTAATCAAGAAAATTAAAAAAAACAATTAGATGATAGAAATAGTCGCAAAGATTAAACACGTGGATTGTGTATCGCATAATTCTAGAATGACAAGAGGAGTGTAATTAAGAAATAAATCAGTGTTCAAGCTGATTGCGTAACAAGCAATTAAAGATGAAATAGTCTTTTTTTAAGTAAAATAACTGGGACAATGATATCTTGTGAAAGGCTTAGTGGGAGGAGGGAAATTGTCAGTTTTTTAGCATTCATGTTATGATGGTGAAGGTGAGGAAAGTGGGTGTACTAATTTTTTTCTGAATACACATTTTTGGCTTCTTCAGGTTGATTCCCATGGCTTCAGCTGTTTTTTTAGATTACAAATTCGTAAAAGAAAATTAATATTATGCAAAATGTAATAAATAACTTGTAAAATCTTTGTTAACATCAACTTCTTATCGGGGGTGTGGGGTAAATCAGATGTGGAGGTGATTCTTTTACTTATCTGCGGTGGCATGTGATACTAAAAAGAATGTCACATTTTTCTTCAACAGTCAGGCTTTCTGCAGGAATTCCGAAATATGCTTTAGTAGTCTTAAGATAATATAATCAGCGCTCACTTAATTATTCAGGTAAGTGAAGACTTAAATTTGACTTTGGCGGTGTTTCTTTTTCATATTTGTTTGCAAGATTTTCTTCATGGGTTCAAAAGGAGAATCCATGTTTCTGTAGGCCAGCAAGTTCGTAGACCATATAGCCACTGGGACCCGTTCCAATGGCCAACCTGTGAATTCAAAGTTCTGCCAATTCATGACATAGCGAGACCAATTCGCAATGTCTTCTTCGATGAGCAAAACTGTCTTCACCTGTTGCACCCTACTGGTCACAACTTCCCACTAGAGCCCCAGGTTCACTGCCTAAATAGAGCCAGTTGCTAGTGAGCATCAGATCAGTTTTCAAGTGATGGTATTCAACCAGTCAAACAAAATCCTTACAAAACCAATACTTGGTAATGTTGTTTGGCTTTTGTATTTCATTAAAGTGTTTATCGAAGTGTTATAATTCATCACACGTATACAATAAAAAGACGAAGATACACTTTTGATAGTACATATACTCTGTACCGGTAGTTAAGAGGACTAAAGAAGAAGAAGAATTGGTGAAAACGGAAACTGAGAGTTATATTATGTTGACAGGCTGGTAAAAAAATTTGATGACACGTGCGTCTTTTGAATACTGACTGTTAATTGATGATTGTCATTTCTATAGAATTGTGAGTAATCAGTGTACTAGGTTATTTAGCAAAATAATGAAATGATTTCAGTGCTTAGCAGATGGCTATTTCATGTTCTTTGACAGTCAGATATGCATGGAGAGAACTTATCAATTCACTGTTTGTGACTGTCAGTTGTGATGGGTTGCATTCATGAATTCCTTAAGCGATCTGCTGCATTTTATACCTTTTCCAACTCGCTTCACATGAGCAGTAGAGGTGATAAATTCTCATGTTCATGGCAAAATCAAGTAATCAATTTTGCCTGCTTTCGCAACCAGAAATGATTGATCTATTTAACGAGTTTAAATACGCATTGAAGAGCTTTTCGAATGTGTCTAGAAATCATCGCGGTGAAAACGTCATCAGCTTGAATTCTGTTTAATTATTCTGATGAAAATTATGCATCATTGTTTATGAATACTGACAGCTCCATAAATCACAACATTTTATCATTGTTAATTAACCCACTACTATTTTGATTGGGAACTCACTGGTGTCATGAATTTAGTCTTTTGTTGGGTATAAACCGAATCCTTTCCGTTAAGTTTAATAATAATAAAGCTTTATTTCAGGCAATATGTGGACATATATTACAGAAATTTTCGGTGTATTTAGTTCCAAAATACTCCCACTTTGTACGCTATTTAAACGTGAAGTAATAAACTGAAGCATGTCATGTGATGTAGCGTTGTTGCATCTGAACAGAGAACCAATTGTGTACATTTTTTCTTCGACTTCCTCGAAGAGTGAATGGCGGTATACCGGAAAACTAATTAAATATGCGCGCAAGTTCATGAAGTGCTTATTTGACACAATTGCACGATTGAAACAATGAGAAATGCAGGGGAACGTAAGCAGCGCTTTGATGGATGGAAGTTCTAGTAGCTCAGTGATTTAAGCAGGCCGCCGTATAGTTGTGACCACCATGCTAGGTGGCGAGTCATCTCGCTGTACGCCGAACTATTCATGGTTTCGTGCCAATTACCTCCAACCACTAAATAATAATCCACTATTAGTCGATAAGTACTTCACTATTAATTGTAAACAAGCATGGTTACATGTGCAGCTAAATACGCTGATTTGATTTCAAAGAAATATATACCTTAGACAAATCAATTCTACTTGCTTTTACACTCAACAAGAAGGGCTCATTTTTGTTATTCCCTTCAAACCTTCTCTGATAAGGTCATCAGTGCAAACTTCTGAACTGTCCCAAACTAAGAGGAAATGACTATTCACTGTCTAGGGATCTTAAATAATGTTGTTTAAGCTCAATTACACAGAACAAATTTTTCATGTACCAAACTAAGCACCGCACTTTTCTGGTGAGGACTGATGATCCTACCTAATCGCTTAAGTTGAAGCAGGAGGAGCAGGACTCGGATCCATGACCCATCGACTGAAAACAGAGTGCCTAAGGCTATGAGTCACATATCTACAATTTCCAATTATAATCCACCTGGAGTCGATTCATGCCGAAATCTACCATAGCTTTAAACTTTTCCTGTTTTACTTTAACGCGTATAATAATTTGGTGTTTGAGCCATATTCACTCAGTACCTTTTTCCCCTTATTCGTTTCATTTCAAACTTATAACTTTAAATTTTATTTTGTAAATTTTCTTAATTTCCTACTCTTTTGAACACTGTTCCTGTTTCTAAGATCTTGTAGATTTTCTTGGCAATTATTCCTGAGAGAAACTAATTACTTAATGATTTCATATTATTTCATTTAATATATTTCTTGACATTCGATTTCACACGCTTTGCTTTGACGTTTCTCTAACCTTTTGATGACACAATATAACCGTACAACTTTGAAGGGAATTTACGAAAAGATTTTGAGGAATGGGATTTTGACTGATGGTGGCTGATGATTAAATCGAGGATGTGCCTCTCCTCTGAGTAGGAATCATCATCTTTGGAGTTTGAAAAGATGAGTGCTGGATTTGAGTCACAGTGGGTGACAGTATCACTCACTAGATCAGTAGATACATCCAAATGTGACTGAGGGAAACTGTTAACCAACTTCAGCCCACAAATATCATGTCAACCTTCAGAAATCTTCGAAGCATTCACAATAGGAGCGAAAATGTCAACCGGGTACCGACGAATGAATCAAAAAGAAATTCAGAAATATTATTCAATTCAATTTAGAGTCTCCCGTCGATTGATTAGATTGAAGTGCTCCGTCTCTACTGACATATCGGCCAAGCATTTCGGTACACTAAATCAACGGAGAGTCCAAATTTGATTGAATAATAACTGATACCCTTTGAACAAGGGGCGGCTTCCATGACACAAGTGGCCTAATGGATAATGTTTTGGCGTTTGAAACCATGGCCAGTGGGTTCGAGCCTCAGTGGGAGTATCATCACTCACAGGAGAATGCAGGCACATTCAAAAGGAAAGTCCCAAGTGGGATGAAATGTGCATTCTGGACTCAGCTGCTAGTCACCATCTACCAAATTACTTCAAAAATACTATCTTTTTAACAAGTCGAAAAATGTAACATATTTTACTTTCATTCTGCATTATGTCATGAACGATTTTACACAATAATTGCTGTGATCAGCACGAATGCTGGGCCAGTTAATTACAGTTATCAACAGTATGCAAAAAAAATAAATAAATAAAATAAAAATGGCGCACATATACACAGAGGCACACGGGTAGACACCGACACGCAGACAACACTGAGAACAACAGGAGAAAAAAATAGAATTATACATCTCATAAAGTCCAAAAAAAGAAAAATATAGTGCACTTCATAGAAAAAAAGGAAGGGGATCCTCTCTCTCTTGTGTTATATAGTGGGAACCATTTTCAGCATTATGTTTTGTCACCAACCTTCTACTGTGGTTAAGAGGCGGGCGCTATTTGTGTTGATATTCATGTTTCTTTCTGATGCTGATGATGCTGGTGAAGAGGAGGAGGATGTTGTACTGCTCTGAATTCACACGGATGATGAAAATGATGATGAATGTACGATTGTGGTTGTTGATGATGATGATGATGATGGTGATGATGATGTACAGAATAGTGTTTACCTGGTTTCAATATTTTCAGTGTATGATTTTGATACGGTGGATGAGAATACCATCGATTTTGTTTTTCACTATGTCGACATAACAGTGTCGTTAAGAAATACTTTATCCGATGGATAAGACGATAAAATCCTCTACGGAATTGACGTCCAGTCATATAGATAAAAAAGGTCAGGCCATTGTTAATAAAGAATAGAAAACGGCATAATTCTTCAGCCATATGCTCTGGACGATAATTTTCGCCTTTACGAAGATCGACGACATTGAACTGGAAAAGAGAGAAAAGCCGAAGACATAACAATTAACGTTATATATATATATATATTCAAGGTAAACTTCATCAGCAACCACATCCTTCAGTTATAAGAGCACTAAAAATCATGCGACACTAGAATGATGAGGCTTTACTAACTAATATCATTTCATAGAGGTTAGACGTAGAGTACTAGGTAAGGGAGGGAAGCCAGTTGATGAGGTTGTATTGCTATATCGACTGAGATGGCTAGAACACGTGCATCATATGCAGAGCCACCGCCCTCCTCACTGAGTAATGTCAGCTGAAATAAGGTTGGACTGGAAAATAGTTAGGGGTGGTCAAATGAAAACTTGGAATAAGTCCATGAAATCTTCGGCAGTTAGTTAAAGACATAATAGAGAAGATTTGTAGCTCAGGTGGATGATTTGCAATTAATAGTGTCCTCTGAGCTGGTTGGTTTAGTTGTGGAGCTTTCGTCGTCCTTCTGGACAACATCTTCAGCGCAATATTTAGTTAGCATAAAGTGAAATGATTTAAATTTCTTCATGAGTGATTTAATTGCGTCTCCGTGACACGATATGTATTCTTTAGTATCAATACATATAGACAATTATGGTCATCAATTTGATTGGGTTAATGTCAAAATCCTATACAGAGGAAACATCAAAAGTTCCGGAGAATTCCTAGAAGCCTGGTACTCAAACGAAAATGCAATTAACAAACACGTTAATATAGACGACACATACCAACTAATAAAAAGTAAATCAGTTGACCAGAAAGTTTAAAACCCAAGTCAATAGAAAGATGGTTACCGGGAGACGCAATTATATCACTCATGAAGAAATTTAAATCATTTCACTTTATGCTAAATATTGCGCTGAAGATGTTGTCCAGAAGGACGACGAAAGCTCCGCAACTAAACCAGCTCAGAGAATACTATTAATTGCAAAAGTTTAAGACATGTAAGGAGGTGTAGATTAGCTGCTTGGGATCCTCATGACTCTAAGAACCAATGACTTGAGACCACTGGTGATATGACTCATAGGCATTCACCACGGTGAAGATGTATTCAGTCCTTGTGATCTCCCGTATCCATTAAATCCTTGTGTTTTTAAATGTTAATACTGTGTCTCCTATACATTTATGCTCATTACAGTCGTTTTGAATCCCTTTTGACTACCCTTGTATAAAATACAGAGTGTGGCATCTTGAAGTACCGCAATTCTATACTAAGGCCTATGCTGAAACTCTGTCAGTCAGTCAGTCTATCATCAGCTCATGGCTGAATCGACCTTCTTTAACACTTGCATATATAATGTCAGTCAGAAGCATCAAAGACAGACACACTTACTTCCAGAATCCTACGGATCCCCTACATACAAGGGATAATCTACCATTAATTCGATAGAAAAATATCCAATTCTACTTCTAATCTACACTGCCAAATGGGACTCAAGTAATCTAATCGTCAAAGTTTATAGAATGAGTAACGAGTGAGTCTGTGACTCTCACGCCAAGACGCCATAAACTTCCCCATAATCCCAGCTGTATCTTGAGAATGAGGGAGGAGGAAATGGACAGTCTCAGTGAATTATAACCTCCCGTCAACTGACTACCAACGTATAAAATCTAAAATCAAATATTTGGTGTTCTGTTCAGTAGAGGAGAGGACAGCAAGTGGGTTGGTCATAAAAGAGTCCGTTTACAGCTTCGCTAGACAATATTTTCGACAGACACGAACATTGTATCGATTAAACTAGTTACTGATTTGGCCATGGGAAGAAAGGAATGAAAAGGTGAAATATAACTCCCCAGACAAACTAATTAAGATGCAAAAGACACTCACGAACGATGAAGAGTAATCAAAATGTGTGAGATGAGAGAGAATAGAAAAATGATAAGTTTTTTTAATGTCTGCATATAGTAATAATAATAAAATAGCTTGATTATGCACAACAAGCTTACACATTGTGCATAATTTTCAGACTAGTTTTTTGCATACTGTTTCCTTTTCACCTAGGGTATTTTGAGTAAAGCAGCCATTTCCAGTACATCATATAACTCAATGACGCTAGATAGGTAAAATAAAATAATCGGCCAGAATTCAATAACAGTAGGTGGCCAACCAATTAAAAATGTCAATCTGAACGAAGAATATTCTTTTCAATAATTTCTCCTCTTCCGGTTCTTACAATTACAAAATATAATATTTGTTGTCGTTACAATAAAGCCAATTATGCGGCGGATGCATTTTTTAACGTAGAATAACTGATTAGTTATCGGGTGTCAAAATAAATAGTCGTACTTATGTGACAAATGTGCTAAGCTGAAATCGATTACAAAATATTGTGAAATGGAGGATAATGGTGGTGATTAGTCATAATAGATTTGTAGAGTGCTGGAAAGGAAAATTGACAAGTCAGCTCAACTATATGAAAGGTGTCAAGTGAGTGGCTAGTACAAAGTGGTCTGTGTTAAACAGGAGATAGTAAGACTGCAATGCGAAGTTTATCATGAAATAACGAATATGTGAAATGAAACAGGTGAAGGCATATATTGAGAAAAGAGATAATATCACTAATAATAAGTTCGGATAGTATAAATGTAAAATTCGGTAGTTTTGAGAGAATGATAGCATAAAGGGTATAAATTATGAATAATAATTGTAACAATGAACAAAGAAAGAAAAAGAAATCAAGAGCGTTAAGGGGAAGAAGCTTTCATGGTGAGAAGAAGGATCATCAATCCAAGTTTGGCCATGGTAGGCACAGCGTCTGAACGTGTTCTTTTTGGATACAAAGTTCCGGTTTGGTCGATCTTATTGCAACAGCTTCAGCTATGTGTAGGAGACGTAAGCGAACTGTACGTGCTAACGACTTCAGAATTCGGTACATAATCCTGTATTGATATCGATATGATGTCCAGTATCGACCAAGTGTGACAGGATCGAGCTTTTTATGCACTTAATTTCCCCCTGCTGAACCAAGCTGGTAAATGTTCTCGAACCTGTTCAGATTGACTTTTAATTCATAATATGGGAATATTTCACACTATTAAATTAGAAATGTGTATGAGTACATTTGGTAAACCACAGACGTATTTGAATGATTACAACAACAAGAACTAAAGAAAATAAGATGCATCATCTCGGATTGAAATTCAGGTAGCCCAGTGATTCATGCAGACCGCCAAGGAGTAATTAGAAGATCACCTATAATCGGCAACAGTGTAGAAACAAGTGAAATTTCATTTTCGGAACTTTACAGTTCAATGCAGGTATTTAAGTTGTGCTACTGTGTGAAAACGCATATGAACGTAGAGAGGAAGGAGGATTTTAGGAGACTGTGGTGAAAAAACGATTCTCATCCATGATCTCAACAGTTTCTAGTCATTGATTCTTACTAAGTGTCTCGAGATCCTTAGCCAGTCAATCAACACCACCGTATGTAGCTAAGACGAACAGTCAGCAACTTAGTGTTTTGATGACATGTCTTGATATGACCACCCCTGACTCTCTTACAACCCACTCCTTTCTAACTAAGATTACCTGTTGAGGATGCCTATGGTTCGACATGTGTAACAGCTATCTAGGCAATTGGGATCAATGAAATTCCATAACCTCATTGGCTGGCTTCTCTCCTTACCCACAATACTGTATTTGACCTTAGGAATACTGAAGATTTTGTACTACCTATGGAAAATAGAACGCAGAAAGGATCATTGAATACTACGTAGAAGATGAACTACAGAAGTAATAACGGCAATATCAATCAATAATGCTGAGGGAGAATAACAACCTGATGCCAGAAATTTACACCAAGAGAGAAGAACTAGTTGTCTTTAAGTGGTAAGAACAGCCTTCGCCAAATTCATGGTTACACAAGGTAGTTCTACTATCTTCCAGTTGTTAGATTTTCGTCTTGAACCAGTTACGGAAGTGGTTAAAATCCTGAGAGCACTAGACAGGTATTGTTTCCTAGTTTTAGACTCCTCACCAATGCACAGCCACGGACTTGCTGCAAGGGATAGCACCCTCCACCTTAGGGCTGTGAGACCAGACTTAGTGACCATTCAATCACTCTAGCTGGAATTCAATGACTCTTGGGTTTTTAACTCTGTCAGCTTGTGAAGTAACGCTACCCTCACCAATGTCTTCGATAAGCATCCACCTTACCTAGTTACAGTAGGCCACACTTGTCACAACCTCCTCCTGCGGTTTCAAAAAATAAAATGAGATATTTTTACTCAATAGAACATGACTTAAGTCCGTCTAAGCACAAAACATGACCATTAGAAGTGGATGGACTACTCCAATCCAATAGGAAGCAATCAGACACACGAAATTAACATTTACAAATCTTTCAGAAGAAAATATTCTGATGTAACGGTAAAATTTAAATGAGATGTATTTCAAAAAGTTAAGCACATTAAAAGCTTTTCTTACATAGGTATTAATTCAATAAGACTAAACTGTAACGGACTGTTTATTCATCTTAAAATTAGAATCACACAATCATACTTGAATAGTCCGAACACTCATATATACACTTAGTGATCATGTTATCTAAGAAAGAAGAAAGCTTCAATCACCTAATGCACAAGAATTCATTTGACCACATCTCTAGTCTGTTTTCGTTTTGAATCAGATAGCCTGCATAAGTGTGAATGTGAACTGTTGAAGAGTTCAAGTATAGGAGGAAATATCAATCTATTCAACACACTCATTAGTTTTCAACACTTCCCTTACCTAAAATAGTCGACAATGAAATGTATAATATACTAAAGCCAATGAAATATAAACGAACTTGACAGTCTCATTTACTTTGCCCACAGTGTAAATTACTCTTGTTCTGATTATTTTTTTCCTGTGAACAGTACTCTGATTTTAAGGATTTAATCAATCTGTCTGTTTTATTCCACATTTTTTGTTTCCAAATACCTATTTTTCACACTCTCCCTTCCTATAGTGTTGGTTATTTAAATTTCTGATTTGATTTTAATATCAGTAATTA